GTGTTTTTTTGCCTATTATCAAGTCACTGTCATTGTCAGCAGGAAGTAAGCCTGGTGATTCCTCGTCGAAAAAGCTCGGTTCTTATTTAATTCAGTCACAATTTCAGGTTACTTTCCATCTTGTTTTTTGTTTTATTCCTGTTGGTTTCGCAATTTGTTTGGATGTGTAGGTGTAGTTAGTTTTACTGTTAGTGTATGGAATTGTGCAATTTCTAGTATGATCTGTGTGTGAGAGCTTTATTATTTAGTTGTTTCAATTGGAGGGAATAAACGTTGAGGATATATGTGTATATATACATATTTTTGCTAGTCGATGAGTTCTTTATTATAAATTTGGGAGATTCATCATTAAATCAGAAGAAATGGGTGTTTGGGTTGTTTTTCCATGGGAAAGGGCCCTTTTCAGTTGAATTGTAGTGGATCATTAATTAGGTTGATGTAAATGTCTGAAGAAAAGTTGGCTGTTGACACCACCATGATGTGGCTTTACCACATGTCTAGGCGGGGTCTTGTAAAGGAATGTGTGGGTTTAATTGTGAACGGAAATGGGTACTAGTTGATTTCTGACTTCTTCACCATGATGCTACTGTATATGGTTTTGATTTTTTGGATTGTTGTTTTCAAGATCTTATATTCTCTCTGTATCATGTTAGCAACGAAAAGCTTGGCTTGTTGTTCATAGTTATTATATATTGTTTTCTTATGTAGCATAAGAATGGTTTCTAACCGGTTGCTCCTAAATTATCTCTTCTTTTTTTTTTTTTTTTTGGACCTCCATATCGGTTACCTAAAGCACCACTCTTTTGCAATGTTGTACAGTCTGCTGGCAACTCCAGTGCTCTTTTTCTAACAGCAGCGGCTCAAAATTTGCTGTGTCTGAAATTAGCTGAGGAACTTGGGGTGATAATTTCAAGCCCTTGGGTTTCTTGGTTTAAGGCTGCTAGCTTGCCAGCATTGGTTTCTCTTCTTGCTACTCCACTTATTTTATATAAGCTTTATCCTCCAGAAACCAAAGACACTCCAGAGGCCCCTGCAGCGGCTGTGAAGAAACTGGATAGTATGGGTCCTGTCACAAGAAATGAATGGGTCATGGTTGGTACTATGATTCTTGCAGTTTCTTTGTGGGTATTCGGGTAAGTCATATATCTTATATGACCTCAAATTTTTGTTAAGTTTTTAGATATAACCTGAACAGAATATCTAGCATAATAAATAAATTTTGGATGATGCATAAGCATAAGTTAATAGAAAAGAAATGTAGAGAAAAAAGATTTTCCTTGGAACTTCTATTGTTTGTTCCTTTTTGTGGATTTCTGAACCTTGATGTTTACTCTGAACCTTTGGTCATGTGGATGTTATCATGATCGAGTAGGCAGATGGTCCACTAGAATAGAATGTCATACAGTTTATTTGTTATGATCTGCTGCAGCTTTCTGGTCATTCAACTGATTATAAATTGATTCCCTAGATAGTTATACTAGCATTGAAGTATTGAGTTTGTCTATCTTTTCTTTAACTCCAGGACACCCACTTATTAACTTCATTCCTCCCTAGTCCTCTGTCCTAACAGAAATTAAGGTAATAGGCTGTTGAGGGAGACTTATCTGCAGCTTGGTTAACTTGTTTTTGCCTCGATGATAATTTTAAACTGACTAAAGATGAGTCTCAGATCTTGAAGGAATTTTCTTCATGCTTCACTGTAGGTTAGTGAATGCTATAAGGTCTAGATTTCTCATGTTCTTTTATATTTGGGTAAAATTTCATATGCAGCCCCTTCTACTTTCAACCAATGCTGATTTGTGCCCTGTTATCTAATCCTATAATAATTAAATGGCTATATGAATGGCATGCGCTATGATGTGATTGGATGGAGAATTCAAATGCCTTTAATTGGAAGTTAAGGGGTTAATTTGACCCGATTTATTGTAGATGGTTTTGTTTGGCCAAATGTGAAAAGTAGAAGGGCCATGTATGATTTTCAGTTTTTTTTTTTTTTTTGGCTGTCAATTACCCTAACATTTTGGTTTGCATATGGTGGCTCTAGTTATACTGGCTTTTGGCTATGCATTATGTTTTGAGGGGTGCAGGAGCAGTCTTTTGATCCCTTTTTTTTTGTGTTTTTCCGTTTCACCTCTTGAGGTAAATGTTTACTTTCTATTCCTGGATTCTTACATATTTGCAAAAGAGAATCCACATTTAGGAGTTTCTGTCTAAATACTGACCCTTAAAGAGAAGGCCTTGTAATCCTACCTCTCTCTTCCAACAATTTCATAAAAGACCTCTAGGTTTCTGGTTACACATATGTGCCCTTTTGAGCTCCACTTTAGGTTTCTGGTTGTACATAGTTGCCCTTTTGAGTTCCACTTTCTGTCCATCATGAGCGCGAAGGTTGAGTTCATGGATGGGGCAAGGCACTTATTGGCTAAGAACAAGTTTGTGAATGGGGTAGTCATAGTGGCTGTTGCTTACCTTGTAACTTCAATCAAAGAGATAAAACAAATACAACTTCATATAGAAAGTATGTTGTGTCACTGTAACTTACTGGTCGGTTGCATACTTGGTTTTTGTGATTCTCATGTAATAGTGCAAGGCATCATCACATAGAAGATTTGTCTATGACATGATTTGCTGCTGATAAAAACTGTTATGGCATGAAATATTCAGTTCATTGTGAAGGTTGTGAATAGTTTTGTTGAATTGGACAGCATTAATCTAACTTATGTCTCAAAGCTATGTGAACATGCAGGTGATTTCTTTTTTAATGCATTACATATTTTCATACCATCCAACTGTGGCCTCAAAATGACTTGGTAATAAATGTTAACTGGTCATTTCTGTAGAAAAAGATAATAGTTAAATGCTCTTTTACCTAGGCTACTTTTATAGTGACCATATTAGTTTAGATTGATGGAGTTCAGTGCTTATTTGGAGTGAAAGGAATATCCTCTATCTTGTTCATGGTAGTTAAAAAGTATTTTATTAACTTTTGGTTTCTTCAGCCTGGGCAAGAGATTCTGGTTTGTTTTGCATGTATCTGATAGCTTAAAATAGTCATTACATATGGCTGATACAGAACTTGGCATGACATTCAAACTTCAGATATTGTCACGTTCCCTGTTGATATTTTATGCTTTCTTTCTGAAATGTGTTTATGGGTTTGATTCGGTTTGGATGGTCTGTTTGCAGAGATGCTATTGGAATACCAAGCGTAGTTGCTGCAATGATTGGCCTATCAATACTGCTTCTATTGGGAGTTCTTGATTGGGATGACTGCTTAAGTGAAAAATCAGCATGGGATACTTTGGCGTGGTTTGCAGTTCTAGTGGGAATGGCAGGCCAATTGACAAACCTTGGTGTTGTAACCTGGATGTCTAGTTGTGTTGCCAAGGTCCTTCAATCTCTTTCTTTGAGCTGGCCTGCTGCATTTGGGGTTCTTCAGGCATCTTACTTCTTGATCCACTACCTATTTGCCAGTCAAACTGGTCATGTTGGTGCTTTATACTCTGCATTTCTCGCAATGCATTTGGCAGCTGGGGTGCCTGGTACATTAGCAGCTTTGGCATTAGCTTACAATACAAATCTTTTTGGTGCTCTTACACATTATAGCAGCGGTCAAGCTGCTGTATACTATGGAGGTATGCATCTGCTCCTCCAAATTATGCAACACTTGTCAAGCATTTCTGTTATAAATCTCACTTCATGAACTTTATGTTCATTGCAGCCTGTAAAAGTCCACATTTGCTCTTCAGATTCATCTGTTTTAGGGTTTTCCATTACATAGATCTATCCGTCATTATCATATTCAGAAATCTCTGTTCTAATGTTATCTGTGCAAGGTCGTTAACATGGCATCTGATAGTGTTTCAATTGCCTTTTGTAACAGCTGGTTATGTAGACCTTCCTGACGTATTCAAGATGGGCTTTGTAATGGCCCTTTGTAATGCCGTCATCTGGGCAGTTACTGGAGCTTTATGGTGGAAATTTTTGGGCCTCTACTGATCTCCCTTTACTGTGAGTAATTGTTGGGGTTCCTTCTGAAATGTTATCCTGATTCAGTAAACGGCTGAGCTTATTACTTTGCAAAGAAATTTTGATTTTTTTAGCTTGGATTTCTATTAGTTTTACAGGTATAGCATTATGAGACTAATAATGCTAATTGAAACATTTGATTATTTTCTTAGTGAATCGAAGTTGAAATCAAAACTTTTGTATCAATCATTTCATTTGTGTCTAATTTTCTTTTTCTTACTTTCTGTTTGATCTTTGGCAACTCGTTGTTGCTCATCACCATTGATGACTTATCTTGATATGTTTGCTCCGTGATATCAGCAAATGTCCTCACCCGGACTTATGCTTTTGTTGTACTGCTGAGACTGACCATTACAAATGGAGCGATCCCAGATTGGAATGACAGATTGTTCTTGAAGTTTTCAGGCACTATAGGGAATAATTGAATCTCAATGTTAGTTGCTGTCCCAGTTACCCTAATCAAACTGATGACCATTCAAATTGGATATTCAGATGTTTCAGTTTTGAGGAACAAAGTAAATGTACGAAGTTGGAAAAAGTTGACTTAAGACAAGAAGAAATTGCTGCGCCATTGTCATTTTTTCTAGTTGGGCCAAGACCGGAGGTGCTCCTTGTCACATAAGTCCAGTCTAATCAGCCCCCCAACTTCGAATTTACAGTATCCTCCATCTTGGAATCACGGAGTTATATTGCAGGCTGCAGGTTCTTCTGCCTTGATCATTACATACAGTAGAACAACCTTCAATGCATAGCATTTCCTATGAAACAAACATTTGAAACTTTCAAGTGAACTAAAATGAGAACATCCAAAGGACTAAGTGATTCTTCAAACTCAAACACCAAGATGAAAGAGCTCTAATGTCTTCCTGCTCTCAATCTTGCTTCCAATAATTTCCATGATCTCGTAGCTGATAGTTTATCCACTTATCAAGGACTAAATGGTTCGAATCGTTTGCCTTGTTAACTTAACCATGCTGGACCCTAGCTTAAACTTTCAAAATGAAGAATTACCAACTGATAAGTCTGATATGAGTTTGCAGTTGAAAAATCTTAGGGCACTCTGTCTCCAATTGTCAACTAAGAGGTTCAATTCCATCATGGTTGAGTGGTTGCAGAAATTTGCAGATTTTGGATAAATCACGGAATCATTTGGGGGGATCCATTCCAATATTGGATGGGAACATTCAAATATCTCTTTTACTTCACCCCATATTCAAGTTCTTAATCTTGCATACAACAAGTTCTCTGGAGACGTTTTCATGAACTTACCAAGTTGTACTTCATTGCAGCATCTCTTTCTTGATGGAAATAATCTCTTAGGAAGGCTTCCTAAGAATCTCTTTCAGCTTCAGAATCTTCGTACGCTGAACCTTCACGATAATTTGTTGTTTGGGTCATTGGATGCTGGAATCTTTAACCTTTCTAACCTTGTTGAACTAGATATCTCCTATAATTCATTTTCAGGACTTCTTCCAGATCTTTTTGGGGGTCTTGGAGAGCTTGAGAAGTTCAGTGCTAGCTCAAATAGCTTCACAGACCATTTGCCTGCTTCATTGTTGAACCCCCAGTCTCTTTTAATTCTTCACTTGCATAACAACAGCCTCAATGGTCCAATCAATCTCAATTGTTCTGCAGCAGTTCGTCTTATCTCACTCCACCTTGATGAAAATGAGAAAATACCTGTTGATGTGAATTTTCACTTCAAGAACCTCAAGGCTGAGTGGCAGCAATAAGTTGCAATTTCTGGACTTATCATGGAATGGACTGAGTGGAGTCATCCCCTTTCGGTTCCATGAATTCAAATCTCTCTTTTATATGGATTTGTGAAACAACTCTTTCACTGGTGCAGTACCAAAGAGCTTAACTGAGCTAGAGGGCCTCATCAATACGAATATATCATTTGAAGAGTTTTCGCTAGGCTTCCCACTTTTCAGGACTCAGAGAGATGGTGCAACTTTCAAGTATAAAGGAATTTGGAGCTTTCCACCGACTCTAGACTTGAGTTACAACAAGCTCGCAGGTCCAATATGGGCAAGTTTTGGGAATTTGAAAGAACTTCACATTTTGAATCTGAAAGAGAATCCTTTGTCGGGAACCATCTCTGATAGTTTGTCAGGCATTACAAGCATGGAAGTTTTGGACTTGTCCCACAATGAATTATCAGGAGAAATGCCTCTTTCATTAGAGAAGCTCAGTTTTTTTTTTCCTTTTTTCCTTCTTATCGAAGTTCAGCGTTGCTTACAGTCGACCGCATGGAGAAATCCCTACAGGTGGCCAGTTCATGTCATTTCCACCTTCAAGCTTTGAGGGAAACGAAGGATTGTGTGGGGGAGACCTTACTCCTTGTCAGCCTCAACAGACTCCTCACGTTCAGCCAGTTGATGAAGAAATGACAACCATGAGTTTGCAATATGGACTTGGAGCGGCGACTGGTTTCTTTCTTACTGTTGCCTTTTGCTTCATATCTGGCTTGGGTTTTTCCTAAGTTATCACTACTTGAAAATGGAGAATCAGCGATGGTCTAGACCGTCACTAATTCTTAAAAAACAGTCACTAAATAAAACTAACGACAACCGTCCGCAAAATGCTTATCGCTAATTTTTAGCGATAGTTTTTTAAGTCCGTCGCTAATTTAGCTATAGAAAAAACCATCGCTAATCCACATCGTTACGAAAGGAAATTTAGCGACGGTTTATAACTAAACGGTTGCTAAATTTCCTCTTAATTTGAAAATTAGTGACGGTTTAGTTAAACCGTCGCTAATTTTCAAATTAGAAAATGATTTAGTGACCGTTGAACTAAACTCGTCACTAAAGTTCAACGGTCGCTAAAATCGGTCATTTTTTATCGATTTAGTGACAGTTTTGTGAACCGTCACTAATTTTCTTTTTTAAATCTCTATTTCTATTAAAACCATCAAAAAATTGCTTTTTTACTACGGTTTTTTATACCCTTGTAAAAAAACCGTCGTTATTTTTAATTATTCTAGTAGTGTATAATCACAAATATCAGTCACAAGAAGTCAAGAGCTAGCTACATATGGTATTAAATCTAGATAATGACTTGGATAAAGCACATTTATTAGAAGTACTGAGAATAGTAGTCCTAGCTTTCACGTTGTTGTAAATTTGGGACTTAGGAAGTTCGTGTAATATACCTTTTCATCTTTTCAACTATTTTGTCCATTTCATTGGTTGTGTCCTTGGAACTATAATGGTGGTGACGTAAATGAAAGCTTTGGTCTTCCTCCTAAAACACTCTAGCCCTAACTGTTCGTGTTTGCATACCATGCCTTCCAAAATCTAATAGGTTTTGGAATACAAAGAAGTCTGAGAGAGTTGCAGAACAACTCAAAGTATGTTACCTAGAGATGTTAAAGAAGATTTTGACAACAATCTTCTGATCTTTTAATTAGTCCAAATATCTCTCACATAAATTCTTTAGTTTAGCATTCCTTTTCGTTTTCAGTTCTTTTTTTCTGGGGTTGGAGAAATGAAGGTTGGAAAATTCTTAAAAAAAAACTAAAACAAAACGGAAAAGTGTTGTAGCCTGTTCATTAACTGTTCATTGGTTCACATTTTTTTTCTGCTGTAGCCAAGCTCTTAGTAAACTTTATTTTTTATTTTGGTCCCTCTTTTGTAATCTTTTTTTGTTTTGATCATTAAAATTCTTTTATATTTGATTTTATCCCTATAATAAATATTGAAATTTTATTATATTTGATTTTTATCCTCATAATAAATATTTTTTTCTTAAATTTTATTAAAAATTTATGTTTTTTTTTCTTATTTTGTGATATGTTTTTATTTTAGTTATTAAAGTTTTATCATATTTCGTTTTTATTCTTATTATACTAAATTAAATAAAGTTTACTATCCTAAGCTTTTTTTTGGCCTTTTAGTGAAACTTTTCTTTCTATTATAATTCTTGTTTTGTGATTTTTTTTTTAGTTTGACCATTAAATTTAGTAGAATTTTATTTTTGTTGTTGTCCATATTTTGTAATTGTTTTTTATTTTGATTATTAAATTTTTATTATATTTGATTTTTTCCTACAAGGAACTATTTTTTACTTTTAGTAAAAAAATTTGTTATGTTTTAGTTTTTGTTGTGTGATTTTTCTTTTATTTTAATCATTAAATTTTTATTATATCCGATTATTATTAATTCTACATCAAAATTAAATACGGTTTCACTATTCTAAGTTTTTTTTTTTTGGCTTTTAGTAAAAAACATTTTCTATTTTGGTTCTTATTTTGTTAATTTTTTTATTCTGATCATTAAAATTCTATCATGTTTTACTTTTTTTTCTTGCCTTATGCATAATGAATTTTTTTTAGTCTTATCGTTTGTATTTTTTTTTTTTTGCTTCTTTTAGTGAAATTTTTTTATTTATTTTTATTTTTCTTTTATGATCTTTACTTTTTTTTTATCATTTAATTGTTATCATGTGTAATTTTATCTCTTTTTTTTTTTTTTGGCCAAATTCTTGATTTGACAAAGCCTTTTTTTTTTTTTTTGGATGATCTCTCTATCTCATTAACAAATTACGGATGAATAATATATGGTAAAAATTAATCATTTAAAATATAAAAAACTACCACATCATTATTTTAATTACCATTTATTATATATATTTTAAATAAAATACATATTTATATCAAACAATATCTAATTAGAAATATTATATTACTCAAATTTACAAATTCTTCGTTTAACTAACCCCGCAATAAAATATGAAATATATGTTTTGATTCTTTTTTTTAATTTTTTTGCACGATTTTTTTAAATAATTATTTTTATATTTTATATTTTAAATAAAATACATATTTATATCAAATAAAATCTAATTAGTAACATTATATTACTCAATTTTACAAATTTTTTATTTAACTAATTTTGTAATAAATTATGAAATTTATTTTTTTATTTTTTTTTAAATTTTTCGCGTGATTTTTTTTAATAATTATTTTTAAATTTTAAATTTTACGTGAATAAATACATAAAATTTAATGTAGCTCACATTGGGCACGAGATATATGATAGTAAAAACTAACTATTGCTAGTCAAAAAGTTGGATATGTTTTGTCTCGTCTTCCAAGTTTCACCATCATCTCATCACAAATTCTGTTAAAGTCTTCACCAACTTTAATTAAAATCTTCTCTCAAGGAATCTATCATGCTGGAAACAGATCATACGCATGCAAACAATTTATTGCCTTGCCTGACAGGAACAGCCTTTTTTTCGTCAATCATGTAACAAATCCATTGAAGGTTTTGTACCCAAATACGAAATTCCTGAACCATCAGATGGCTTCAAGACCGACGTGTAAAAAGTCAAGCTGGAAACAGTTCATTTAATGACTTCTAATACGAAGGCTTGTCAGAAAAAAGTCTTCCAGGTCGAAGCATGGAAAAGTTAAAAGAGGAGTAGCCATACACTTGTGCTTAAACTATACCATTTGTAGCACCATATCTTTACTTCACTGGTTTCTTTTCTTTGATACGTGCTGAAAAATGCAATACTCATACCTTTGCTTCACCTTCATTTTGTTGACAATCAGTTTCAAGGCTCCCTTCACGACATCCCAGAAGGTCACATGCAATTCAAATGACGTTAGAGCCTTAACTAGCTTCTCCAGTTTCATAGACTATGGGCTTGAGTGGAATACGTCAGACTCAAATTGTTGCAGTTGGATAGGTGTCACCTGTCACAATTCCACGGTTTCGATTAAAAGGGTAGTCAGGTTAGAACTTGGGAGCAAAAGACTCACAGGGTTAATCTGCGAGTCCTTGGCAGGTTTGGATCAGCTGAGAATTCTGAACCTCTCTCAGAATTTCCTTTATGGATCCCTTCCATCTGGATTATTTCGCCTGCAGAATCTAGAGATCCTTGACTTGAGCAGTAATGATTTTGTCGGTCCAATACCAGAAGGTAGTAATTTATCCTCAATCAGGTATATTAACATTTCAATGAACAATTTTAATGGTTCTGTCGATGCAGCACTTTGTGAAACCTCATCCTATATTCACACACTCGATCTTGCAAACAACTATTTCTCCGGTGAAGTTTCAGCAAACTTTGGAAGGTGTTCTCCTCTGCAGCAACTCTTTCTTGATCACAATGATCTCTCGGGGAATTTTCCTGACAGCCTCTGGCAGCTGAGAGATCTTCGTATATTGCACCTTCAGAATAATTTATTTTCTGGGACACTAACTTATGAGATTGGTAAATTTTCCAACCTTGTGGAATTGGATATCTCTTCCAATAGGTTTTCTGGAATTCTTCCAGATGTTTTTGCGAGGCTTAAAAAGCTTGAGAATTTCTTTGCCCGCTCAAATAACTTCAGCGGCAACTTGCCCAAGTCATTGGTAAATTCTCAACATACTTCAATTCTGAACTTGAGCAACAACACCCTCAATGGTCCAATCAATCTCAATTGTTCTGCAATGGTTCATCTTACTTCTGCCGATCTTGGTTCTAATAATTTCCATGGTCCAATACCTGATATTATATCCTCTTGCCAGAGACTGACCAATCTGAATCTTGCTCGTAATAACCTTGGTGGTGAAGTTCCCTTTGGATTCAAGAATCTCCAAGCCCTAAGATCTCTATCCCTCTCAAACAACAGCCTTGTTAACATATCGTCAGCCCTAGCAATTCTCCAACAATGCAGAAACTTAACTTCACTGTTCCTTAGTCTCAACTTTCACAATGAACAAATGCCCAGAAATGTGAATTTTCATTTCAGGAACCTCAAGGCACTTGTTATTCCTTATTGTCAACTTAAAGGTTCAATTCCATCATGGCTGAGTAGCAGCAAGAAGTTGCAACTTTTGGATTTGTCATGGAACCGATTGAGTGGAACTATTCCCTTCTGGTTCCATGAGTTCAAGCATCTCTTTTACATGGATTTGTCAAACAATTCTTTCACTGGTGAAATACCTATGAGCTTAACAGAGCTACAGGGCCTAATCAACATGAATATATCATCAGAGGGGCTTTCTTCAGGCTTCCCACTTTTCCGGGCTGGGGCAGATGGTGCAAAATATCAGTATAAAGGTATTTGGAGCTTCCGACCAACTTTGGACTTGAGTCACAACAAGCTCACAGGATCCTTATGGCCAGGTTTTGGAAATTTGAAAGAACTCCATGTTCTGAAGCTGAAAGAAAATCATCTCTCGGGAACCATTCCTGATAGTTTCTCAGGCATGAAAAACTTGGAAGTTTTGGACCTATCGTATAACGAATTGTCAGGAGAAATACCTCTATCACTGGAAAAGCTCAGTTTTCTGTCGAAGTTCAGCGTTGCATACAGTCAATTGCAAGGAGAAATCCCCACAGGAGGCCAGTTCCTGACATTTCCATCTTCAAGCTTCGAGGGAAACGAAGGTCTGTGTGGAGAAGACCGTACTCCTTGTCAGCCTCGACAGGCTCCTCATGTTCAGCTGGCTGATAAAAAAATGACCATCATTGGTTTGCAATTTGGACTAGGAGCTATAACTGGATTCCTATTAACCGTCACCATTTGCTTCATATCTGGCTGGGTGCTTCCAAAGACATGACAAACAATCATCAAAGTCATTTAGATACCAAGTGTTAAATCAAAAGAAAAGTGGCCATAATGGCAGTTTGATCTGACAAGGAAGGTGGCCCTTGCATGTTTTGTAAATTTAGATTTGGCGAGTTCTATGAAATATATCTCGTGTTTCTTCTCATCTTTTCACTTGTTCAGTTTGTAAATTACAGATCTTAAACCGCACATGAAAACAATGCAAAAGCAATAGAGAAATTAACCAAGAGAACAAGTTTTTCTTTGGGTTGTGCCCTTTATGATGGAAGGTTATGTAAGCTTCCCTGCTTTCTCTCAAAGCGCTTGAGCCTTGCTGCCCTCTGGTTGCTGAAAATGCTTTCTAATACTATCAGTGTTCATACACATTCGAATGAATTGCAGGGTTGCTCTATGCCCAGGCTTAAAGAATAGCAGGAAGCATATATATATATATATGGGTTGCACGTCAATTGGAATATAAGCCAGAAAGAATAAAATGGTGCAGCTGCAACTTCAATTGATCAAAAGGAAGACAATTGATCTAGGACAAAGAGTCATCATGAAGCCAGCTTTGGAAAAAAGAAGGAAGAAGAACAGGATTTTTTGGGCATATTAAAGCACTAATAGAACCTGATGCATATTACTCATCAAGGATCATGTAAAGAAAATAGAATCAATGTTCCCGTAATCTTAGAAGACTGATATAGCAAATATACAATGCTTGCAGTATAACATCCACTGAGGATTTAGGCTCCATCCAATTTCTGGAACATGGATGTGAATCGATAAAGAAACACCTGGAGGACAGCTTTGAAAAGGGAGGAAAGTAGCAAGAATATCTGTATAAAAATATAAAAACAGGTGATTAAGCAATCTGAATTCATGTTTTCTTATGTAAAAATAACAAAAATATCAAACATATATAGGTGATTAAGTAAATTAACAAATATCACAATATGGAAATAGGTGATTAAGAAATATGCATTTATGCGTCCATTATATTTCTTCCACCATCAATCAAAGGGGAGTGTTGTGAGCATATACTGCTAGAAATGTTCCAAGAACCAGCTGTATTATAGAAAACTTCAGTGAAAGCATTTTTAATAAGAAGTCATATTCCCTGGTTCTCCACTCCTTCACATTTTTCATCACCTTCAATTGTGCAGCATTTTTAGATGGTACTCAAGGATCTGTAGAGCCAAAAGAGACGAGATAAACCATGCAAACTCGTAGTTACCATCCAAACCAGTAGGTGGTGCCAACTATGGACTATCATCTTATCATGCATGCCAAAGTCCCAAGAAAGACAATACAAGGTGCACAGACACGCAAGGGGTGCAGATATATTTGGAAAACTGAAAATCAGCCAGCTGGTGGGTAAAAATTCTAATGGCCAGTAATACATAAACCAAATGAAAGGTAGAAAAAAATTCACTGAGAATTCTAGATATAATCCAGATATTAATGACAAAAACAGTGCAAGAATGACGTAGCGAAAACTCACTAAAGGAAAGATAATTACCGTTAATCTGAAATTCAGATGTCAGTCTATTATAATTTATTGAATTATACACAAATATCAGGAAATAGGCTTCAATTCCGTTGATTAAAAGAATGTCGAAAATTGAGATAACTAAGATACTTTCTCACAAAACTTTATTAACTAAAAAAAGTAGTATTTTTCAACCTCAAAGTCATACATAAATAGTAAATTTTCAGCCAAAACCCTAAAGCAATTCAAAAAGAAAACAAACACTAAAATCCAAAAATATTAAGAGTAAATCTCAAAAAAACAGTAAAAGATGATTTTAAGGGTCTAAACGATATTTTGTTTTTACTAAAATCACCTGTTTTGATTGTTGATCCGTTTAGCATCGAACTAGATCTAAAAAACCTCAAAATTGAGCTAACAGTTTTTGTTTAGTTTTTATTATGCTCGTACCATTCTATAAATTTCAACACCCGTTGATCCGCATAAAGGAACTAACCAAACAGTTGCATATCATGTGCACATAGCTTATCTTTAGTATCTCCCATGAGGCCCTGAAACTCTGAGCCTCAGTGAAAGATTCTGAATTTAGACATCAGAAGACAAATTCTTGCTTGACCTGGGTGACAGTATGCCACAAAGGAAGAAAACACTTGCAGCATAAATACCAGGGCCCCCAACCTGTGGCAAAGACATGCTGGCAAAAATTCAACTCAAATTTATGTGCGTGATATTTAAGAAAGAATAAGTAAATAGAAGAGTCAACCATCACGATGCTTATGGTCTGCTGCTCCATTTGTCATCCATTGTTGCCCTGTCATGTTCCCTTATGCTGTTAAACATAAGAAAAAAAAATGAAGCAAAATAAATCCCCAACAAATATCCTAGTCGAACAGTTTGTAAGAGCCTTCCATTATGTGATTTCTTTTCTTCCTTTTTTTTTTTTTTTGAAAAAAAGAAATACTGTCAATAGGTTGGAAGTGAATAGACTTTGTTCAAATCATCAAGCCATGCATGTCATCATCCATAAGATTGGTGAATATACATCATAATTTTGAAAATCTTCAATGCTTTCTTAAAGTGACAAGCTCGTTGTATGAATAATCATGAGCAAGTAAAAGGAATGTAAAGGAAATTTCTTAAGAGTGCAATATCTTCTCTGAAGATGGAATACACACGTAATACCTCCATTACATTACTGAGCTTTGCTTGCCACCTTGGCCTCCAAATTACATTTAATCACTGACACAGACAAGCTGTATAATGCAGAACGAAGATCATCATTCAGCAGAATCACTCACGCAAAGCTTATGTCCAAATAACGCTGTCATGGCACCTAAACTCCAACAAAACATGTATAAGTACGTATTGTTTTTATACAGCAGGAAGAGCATACTGAAAGCTTTGGATCTCAAGAAAGCATGGCTTTTATTCCATAGCAGTACTATTACACGTAAATGATCAATAAGAAAGCAAGCTAAAAAACCAGAGCTAAGACAGAGAAGTTTAACCCAGTCTAAGATTTGCATATATTAGTCAAACTACAGCAACCAAATAGAAACACAAAAGGCCTAACAAATGTTCTAGATGATTCCCTTGATGCTCTGAAAGCAAATAAACTGCAGCTTTTTACACAAACATCATCAACTCAGGCCTACTATATACGTTATTCTGCTCATCCTCCAGTATAGGATAAGCTGCCACAAGGGCGTCCTGAGATCCAATATACAGGGAATTGTAGATCTTCCAGTACACTTCCCTGACCTTCCGGGCAGGATGGAACAACCCCTGGAGACAGTAGTTCAACACAACAGCAGCACCTAAGGCCACCCTCATTCCTTCTATGGCTTCCATGACAGCATTTATCACATGAGGGGAAGTCTCAAAGATGTTGGGCCACACATAGTTAAGCAAGTGGACCAATGCATCCTCACAACCCAAACCAGCAACACCCAAAGCCATATGCTTAACAGCAGAAGCTGCAGTCTGCCTGTGAACTAAATCTCTGTCCATGAGTGCATCCTCAAGTAATGGAGTCACTGCATAGATATAATCTTTTCCCATTTCGCCAATGTACTCAAACAGGAAAGAGAGGGATTTCAAGACACCATTCTGCACATTAAGCTCTGGGACACGATATTCATTCATCAGGGCAGGCAAGACTGTAAAAGGAGAACAGGTTTCTGCAACTATAGCAATTGCAACAGTTGTGCAAACACGGTTTTGGCGCTCCTGGACCTTGAGGTTATTCAATAGGGTTGCCAAGACATCCTGAGGTCCAATGGCCTTAGCAATGTAACCGAAAGTATTCACAGTAGCACGCCGAATACCCTTTTTGTGGGCCTTAAGCATCTCAAGAAGCTCAAAACAAATCCTCATCCACTCCCTGGCAGGAACAAACTCAGCTCCACGATCAGCAATACGACCAACAAGATCAATACAGTTCTCCTGGACTTTCTCGTGCCTATTCTTCAGAATAGGAGTCAATCTTGGAAGCAAGTCCTTAATAGGAGGAGTCATTTTGGTCATACCAATGACATTGACAATTGCTTTGAGAGCTCCTAAAATCGATCCAAGAACTTCGGGGTATTCTTCTCCCAAATACTCATACAACACAACACCAAGATGACCCATCAGTTGTTCCTCCTGGCACTGCTTCATGACAACAGCAATTCTAGAAATAAGATCAGCAGCTTGCTGTCTCACTTTAGCGCTCTTGTTGTTCAAGCGCCACTTAATGGTACCACAAATCTGGGGAAGGTAAGGTTTCACCCTCTGTCCAAGAGAATTGACAACTGCACCAAACCCATTAAGCATCACATTAGCATCATCACTGGTCTGCTCTTGGAAAGCATAGAGAATACCATCAATCAAAAGCTCTTCCAACCTAGCATCAATATCAGATGCACCCATGTTCGTAACAACCTTCTCAATTGTTTCCATAACCATACGCCTATATGGTTCACTCTCATCTTTCAGATCCTCAACAATTCTGCCAGCAATATCTTTAACACCAACCTTGTTAGCAATCTCAACTGTCGTTTCCACAAGTTGCCTGTAATTTCTCCTATCCAAGGCCATCCTTCTAACCCAGAAGTTCCTAAAGAACTCAGGAAGAATATCAGAACGTATATATTCAGCTTCCACACCCTCTGTACTCACACATTGCTTAACCACTTTCAACACAATCTTCTTCATTTCTTCATCAGGTGACTGAAACTCACGTATTAGGATAAACATGACTTCCTTGGTGTAGTAGTTGGCATACATAGCATCCATGAGAGGAATAATAAAACCAATTGCTTTCAAGAAAGCAGCCAAGACCTTGCCACGATGTGACCTAATTCCCTTCCACAATGGCTTCAGAACAGAGTCGAAGCTTTCAATACCATATGGGGCAGCAGCCTCAGCAAGAGCAGCCAAGGACAAGGCAGTGATTGTCCTCACCTTCTGATTCTCATCATTCAGACCATGTTCTATGATTTCCACAAGAGACCTCAAATGGGGAAGAACAGCACAGCCAA